AATAAAATACGTGCGTTAAATATATATATAATATATATATATATATATATATATATATATATATATATATATATATATATATGATACTCGGTCAATAAGTTCGTAATCTGAAACGTAAATATTAGGTTAATTTTGATCTGAAATTTTCATTGTATAGTGTCGGGCTCTGTAATTATAATTATTACCCACTGTATGAAATGCACTGACAAGGAAGGAGATTGTGCTGGAGAATAAGTATTTTTACCATTAAAATTATTGATATACCTTTAGATAGATAGATAGATAGATAGATAGATAGATAGATAGATGAACAGATAGATAGATAGATAGATAGATAGATAGATAGATAGATAGATAGATACATACATACATACATACGTAGATATACTAAATTTCATCTAGTAAAAACTTAGAGAGCCACTCAAGGTAGACATTGCTGTCTGAGGTGCGTGATATTCATAAAAGAGGTGGTACGAAGTGTTGATTATGCGTATAATGAAGATATATAGCCATTGACCATTGACTTAAAGCGATTAAAATTCTAGTTCCGGTAAGTATACACGCGGGAGTCTGTGCCACAGAGTGGCTGTTCTTAAGAAAAAAACAGATTGAGTGGAAATACCTCCTTATAATTAGAATATAGAGGTAACACAGTATGTCCTAGCTGTAAAGGTCTGAACTGGTAGAACTAAATAATAACCCGCTTTTGAATATTTGCCAACAAAATAGCAATAGGTAATGATAGGCTTGCGAATTTACGTTTGTAGAAAAGAGGACGCAGGGTGCAAAATAAGTAATCTCACGTGATAGATAGATAGATAGATAGATAGATAGATAGATAGATAGATAGATAGATATGAACAAGTTAAGGATAGATAGATAGATAGATAGATAGATAGATAGATAGATAGATAGATAGATAGATATGAACAAGTTAAGGATAGATAGATAGATAGATAGATAGATAGATAGATAGATAGATAGATAGATAGATAGATAGATAGATTATGGCCATAGAACCCAACATCGCATGGTAAATGGTAGTTTCACGCATTGGCTCTACGTTACTCACATGGAGCGGGCAAATTTTTCCATTGCGGTTGCAGGAGATGGTCTACCAACCTTAGGAAGTTCCGATTTTATGATGTTGCCTCTTTTCTTCGGGATTATTTCTGCAGTTTGACATTGGATGTCCTCGAATATGGGCTATGACACTTTAAGATCAAGTACGCTGTGCCCTTCCATCCGTACTCTTTAAACCGAAATAACTAGTAGAAGTTGACCAATCCGACAATCACTAATCCGATTTAATCAGAAATGCGACATTAATTCTCACGATAGTATTGTAGATTTCCCGAATCACAGCACAGACCTACCACTACTGTTTGCTGGTACTGGCTACTACACCAGCTGTTTTTTAGCAATTCCATATACAGGTAAAACATTTCTACTTGTCTTGCGTGCATTTTATTATAACCTATTGCCGTTTAGTACCAGTTATGCTTTAATGGATACATGAAGTGCTTCTCGTTGTAGTAAGCTCAAACATTATACGTTATCCATAACAGATTATGTAGAACTTTTCAAAGACTCGACAGCAGTATGCTTGTTGTTGGTTGCTCCCTTCGCTGATACTATTAGAAACACTACTTGTTCGAAATAATCTTGTTAATCTCTGGGAAGAGCTCATAGTATAGGTTCCATTCCATTCCCACCATATACATAGTATCCCTTTCTTTGAATAAAGCTAGAACTTTGGTGCGGTTAGTAATGTTTCACTTCACTTGCCTCACATTTTCTAACACTCAACGTTGTTGTAAAGCATCCACTTTTCATTGCCCTTGAAAAATATTCATTAAAAATAAATCATGTAAGTTCAGTTCAACCATCTTTTTTTTCTAAAATGATGTGAAAAGCACACATTAAAGCAACTAATATAACCAAACTAGTACAAATGATTTTCAATACTTCACTTGGTTATTTTGAGTCTGCTATCTCTCGTCTCCGTGTATCATCATCATCACTTCCTTGACTTTTGTAATCGTTGTGGGGAGGGGTCCGAATGCAAAAACCACACTAATTCTTTTCCACAACGGTCTATCAACGGCAGCCATCAGCAATTCGGGTACAGTCATATTTGTTCATTGTTTGACATTATCCAACCAATTTTTACATTGGCGTCCTCTACTACGTCCACCTTCAACAATGCTTTGAATGATGGTCTTGCACAGGCTGTTATGCATTGTAATGTATCCCAACCACACCATTTTTCTCCGTTTGACAATATCTATAAGCGGTTCCTGGTGGCCCACAAAAACTTTTATGTTCCCAACAGAAGAAGCTAAGGAGTTTTCTCGTGCATTTGTTCTGAAATGCCTGGATCCTTCTCTTTGTATCTTCCAACAGTGCCCACGTTTCACATCCATATAGAAACATGGAGACTACCAACGATGTGTACAGTCTGAAAGCTGATTTTGCTCCTCCATATTCTTGCCAAATCTGGCCATCGCTTCCATGGCTGTGGCAATCCGTGTGTGGATATCGAATCTGCAGGCACTTCATCCAGTAAACTCCCGTTCATGGTAATGTTGACACGAGTGCTATACGTCATTACTTTGGATTTCTCGGAACTCACCTCCATTCCATACGCTTCTGCTCAGTGTATAACGTTATTTAATTTTAGTTAATGTCGGATGTGCTTCTCGTGATATGAAACGCAAACACCATACATTGTCCATAACAGATAAGATAGAATTGAAAAAACCTGACAGCGGTGTGTCTGAGCGAAACATAAAACAACATTGTCTCATCGACAGTTTATGACATAAAGAAACAGAGACAAAAATAATGCAACCATCAATAATCCAGCAAAATACCTGTTAACCAATTGTTGGATTCGCGATGGTCAGCATGTACGAGCGTTTATTTATTAAAAAAAAAAACAGGTTACTAAAATTTTCTAACTGAATATTTGGCTGAATTCACGCAATCTGCCACGTCTACTTTCAGCATTCGACCAAATTAGTGCGGCACCCAGTGAGTAATATAGGCCAAAATGTACTTTCAAATTAAAAAGTCGTTCTTCCATTATTTTGAAATTTAAGTGTACAAAGCGGTCAATGATAATGAGTGCGCAGCGCAGAGAGTTGTCTGTGGAACAAAGGACTTAATTAAGTGTAACAAAAAAGCATTATTTTTGTCGCAGGACGGTGTATACCAATATCCTGTTTATAACAGCCATTAAATTAATGTTAGCTGCGGCATATATTTCCTTCATTCGAATTTACCAGAAATAGCCTGCGAATCACTGTTTAATCTTTACTTAATGTTTGGAGTTGATCGCTACCATTCTTAACTTGTCTTCGACCGTGGAGCATCATTCAGCGAGAAACATGCACTTTTGACACGTTCAATAGTTACTAAACTGAAAATCCTTTTTCTCTTTTTTAGTTTCACATGCATTATTGTTTCTTAAAATAAAATTGTTAAATATGCCGAAAATATTGCTTTTCATATATCTTTAATGTTAGAATCAATAAGCAAAAATACTTTTAAATGTGCATTGACATCTATCACATTACAATCAAAAGCGATCTTTTTAATGAACCTAAACCATCCTAATGCTAACAAGCAACAAATATAGATATTGATTTCTTCAATCATTTCACCCCACGCAAGACAATAAAGCCACTAAGACGCAAGGGGGTTACTAAATGTTAGAGAATATGAAACAAAGAACAATATTAAGGAGGGAGAACAATAAAAGAACAGGAATTAAAAAGACAAAATTAAACGATTGACACTGCATTCAAATTTTTGAAGATCAAAGCTGACTAAGAAGCAAGAAGCCGGAAGAGAGTTCCACAAGTGAGAAGTATGATAGAAGAAACTGTTAGCATAGAACTTACGGTTGCATCTAGTCATTCAACTATACTTGCGGTATTCTGAACACTTGCCTGTCTCACCTCGAGAGAAGGTCTTTTCCTAGTAATCTTACTTCTGACTTATTAATAATCTCCCTTTGTTGTCACTCTTCAAAATAAAATGTAACCACAACACGCTCACATACGATACGCGGATGAATATGAATTGACAGTCTCAATACGGGACTTAGCCCCAACTGGTGATATGTCACAAGGCAGGAAGCCATTTAACATGCACGTAGAGACGGTTTCAACGGAAGCTATTGTTCGACTTACTGATTCAGAACAGCAAAACACTACAGAGGAAAATCATGCACCAAGGGTTAGTGGTTCTCCTCCCAATGAATCTAATAATCACTCCGAATTCCAATCTCAATTAACCCTCCAATCCGGCTTCTGTTACCTCGGAACCACAAAAAAGATCTGTAAGAGAACGCCTCAAGTCTGTTCGTTATCAAGAACTCTTATATAGGCCAAAATGTACTTTCAAATTAAAAAGTCTTCTTATATAGGCCAAAATTTGAAAGTACATTTTGGCCTATATAAGAAGTCTTTAAGGAAGAGGAGAATGTGGTATTCTGAACATTTGCCTGTCTTTTCCCGAGAACAAGTCTTTTCCTAGTAATAACATCCCTTTCTTGTCACTCTTCAAAATAAAATGTAGCCATCTTGTTAGTTCATTAAAGCCTTCTGAAGGTCTCACGTCTTCTTGTTATCATTTCAATGCTTAAATTCATAAAGTCTCAATACGTGACTTAGCCCCAATTGGTGATATGTCACAAGGCAGGAAGCGGAAAGTTCATCAGAAGAATTACCAAGGAAGTAGAAATGGCACAGGGAAACTACGTTATAGTGGTTGGGAAAGGGGCTGAAGTGGAGATACCAGGCCAGGACCAATAACACTGCAGATACTTTAGATTTTATCAAGAATCTCTAAATATATAGCAGGAACATCAGACCATATGTTGCAGAAATATTGTTTGAAATTATTAGAACAGAACGGTTAAATCTGGCCATTCCAATTGTAAAATGAAGCAACGTTCCTATATCAATAAACCAACTTTCTTGTTTTTTTTAATGTTCTTGTGTCCTTTCTTTTCCATCTTTTCTCTCTATTCCTCTTTACCTTCTCCTCTTTCATATTCTTCATCTCTTTTTTCTTTTTGTTTGTCTCTGTTTTTGTAACTTCTCCTCCTGTTTGTACATACCTTCATTTTTTCTTCTTCTTTGTCTTCGTTTTTTTTATGTCTCCCTTTTTCCAGTTTCTCTTCCTGCTTTCCTCTACCTTCTCCACTCTGTTATTCTTTATTTCTCTTTTCTCGGATCACACTTTTTTTCATTGTCTTCTTCTGTTTCTCTTTACCTTTCTATCTTCCTCATCTCTTTTTTTTTTTTCTATATCCCTCTTTTCTTCTCATCATCTCCCCTTCTTGCTTCCCTCTACAATCTCCACTTACGCCATCTTTATCTCCTCTTCTTTCTACCTCCTCTTATTACTCAACTTCTTATATCCCTCTTTTCTTCTCTCCTGCTCCTCCTCTTGTTTCCCTCTACGGTTTCTTCTTACGCTTTTTTAATCTCCTCTTCTTTCTTTCTCCTCCTACTACTCAACTTTTTATATTAAATTTTCTTCTCTCCAGCTCCTCCTTTTGCTTCCCTCTACATTCTCCTCTAACACCTTCTTCCTCTCATCTTCTTTCTTCCTCCTCCTGCTACTCAACTTCTTACATCACTCTTTTATTCTCTCCAGCTCCTCCTATTGCTTCCCTCTATATTCTTCTCTTTCGCCTTCTTCCTCTCTTCTTCCTCCTACTACTCAACTTTTTATATGGCTCTTTTCTTCTCTCCACCTCCTCTTCATGCTTCCCTCTACATTCTCCTCTTACGCCGTCTTCATCTCCACTTCTTTCTTTCTCCTACTACTACTCCACTTCTTTCTCATTTTTATAATTTTACAAAAAACAGCATTGTCTAATTTTTCTATTACAAAGATTAAGAGTATGATAAAGACCTAAAAAAATGAGAGATCACTTTCATTTACAAATTTTCCCACAATCTTGAAAGATATAAAACCTTTTTTTTTTTTCTATCAGTAATCATATGTTTGCCAGCAAAAAGGGAACAGTCTAACATAAAAATAAGTACAGCATTTTAAATATCTAAGCACAGGACAGAAAGTGCGACACTGAAATCCGTAGGCGCAATGGGATAGCAAAAGATGCTTTCCGAAAGTCAAGTAAAGTATTAAGAAAAAAGAAAATTTCTTTAGAAATAAAGAAATCTTACGTAATATCAGTCCTCTTATATGGCAATGAATGCGGGTCAATCCCCTCACAACTTAAGAGACTTCAGAGATAACAAAAAGACGGAATTTATTAAAAGCTACAAAAGAAAGGAAATTGTGCAGAGCTATGATCGCTAACGTCCTGAAGGGACACACCACGTCGAAGAAAAGGAATCATTGATCTGCCATTGGTAGAAATATGTGTTAGCTGTTCAGAAAATGGAAGAAAATAAATCATTGCTATAGTGACGTCTTGAACTTACTGACGTGGATTGTTGAAAGTGTTGAATTTGAAGCGATGTCTGTAAAGACAAAGAAACAAGCGAAACAAAAAAAAAGGTGACATCACGCCATTATTTTCACATTAATCATACAAAATTAGGTGAATGACGTTTGCAGACTTTAGATGCATAAAAAATAATGTCATAAATTCTTATGTCTTATTTTTTATTGTCTTCGATTGTCCTGAATGTAGAGTCGGTAGATATTCTAATACGAATCTGATTTTTCTTCATCAAATTAAACGCTCAAAACGGGAACTCGAATACCCACTGCCAGCAGCATACCGTATTTTCTTGTGTACAATACGACTTGAGTATAAGACGATCCCGTGATTCTGAATCTAAACACAGGGAATAAATTACATCCCTGATTATAAGACGACCCCATGTTTCTGAAGATAAAAACAGGGAATAAATTACGTCTCTGAGTATAAGTCGACCCCATATTTCTGAAGCTAGTAACATGGAATAAATTACATCCCTGAGTATAAGCCGATCCCGTATATCTGAAGATAAAAACAGGGAATAAATTACATCTCTGAGTATAAGATGATCCCGTATATCTGAAGATAAAAACAGGGAATATACTACGTCCTTGAGTATAAGACGACCCCGTATTCCTGAAGCTAAAAACAAGGAATAAATTACATCCCTGGATATAATTCGACCACATATTACAGCCATATCTATGAAACTTTTTTTTAATTGTGCCATATTATCCATTAAATTCTTAATATCGTACATATATTTCAATAAAATTTTTAATTTTTAACGTGTTTTTCTAATTTCCGTATCAAAAGTTATTTTCGAATTTTCCGCGAAAGATGCTAACAAGATATACCCAGTAATACATTTTAAAGTGTTAATTGATCTGTCATACCTTTCTATTTAATATAACGTTATTATATTTCTATATATTAATAAACTATGAAAATAAAAAAGAATATTTTCTTTCATTAAGAATGAAGAAAGAAAACTTTATAAAAATACAAGAAAATCAAAATAATATTTAATCTCCGTTCAAAATATTTAATCTCCGTTCAAAATTTCAAAATAGTTGAACCTTCTATTTACAAAAGAATAAGATAGATAGATAGATAGATAGATAGATAGATAGATAGATAGATAGATAGATAGATGTGAACAAGCTATAGATAGATAGATTTTAAAGAAATATATGTATATTACAAATTAACATTGATCAGTTATATCTATTGACGCTGATTGTAAGTTTGAAAATAAAGAAGTAATCAGTTGCCCAAAGGACTCATGAATCATTTTAAATCCACTCTCACGGACACCGATATTAAGGACTTTAGTTTAATACCTGGAGAAAAATCCACTTTCTCACCCACTTGGTGATCTTGGGTTGCATCGGTTGTAAGTCAAAGTAGAGGAATGTAAAATGGTTGCTGATTTGGAGCTGACCCCCAGAAACAATAAAATCTTTGATTCGATTTCAAAAACTGTTGCAGGTATCATTATTAGTTGCAGATACATGCATGTAATAGCTTTATTGCAGTTATAATCTTTATCTATAGATATGTAATGAAATTTTGTTTCATTATGCCTAGTATTATTTGCAAGTCAGTCAGTCAGTTACGAGCCATGCGTGATACACGCTTAGGCGATCATGTACCTTTCGATACATGACTGACGTTGCAGATTTTCCCAGCAGTAGGTTGTCATTTCTTTCTGCGGTAAACCAGTTGCCATCCATTTCTATAGAACCCAGTCTATCCTACTATTTACCCATAGCTGGGGGCAGAAGAAGAGGATTCATAGCTTTCCCAAGGGTATTAAGGGAATGTAATGGATTTGACTGGATTTTGAAACTTGGCTTTCCGATTCCTCAATCCGCACCGCTATCCATTACTCCACCGTGACTCCTATCTTATATATATATATATATATATATATATATATATATATATATATATATATATATATATATATATATATATATATATATATATTATTATTATTATTATTATTATTATTATATCTTACAGAACGGAAATGGACGATCTGAGTTTTCTCCCTTACAACAGAGTGTTCATTGTTGCATAAATATATGTATTTGGGGAATGAGTTAATCCTTGAATTGCCATGCTTTCAGCTGTAACAGAGACGTTGTTATATAAATATATGTCAGTTAAGAATTGAATTGTTATTCTTCCGGATAAAACTGACGCCATCTTGGTTATCAAGCCATGTACACATATTTACAGTTGGATAAAGCCTTGTAACAGATTTTGCTTACATGATGTTCCACTGGGTGGAAAGTCGAAGCAACACAAAGACGACACGACACGTGGTAAATTCAACAACTGTATTCGCTGGATCCGTTTTGCTCCCAACATTCCCTAATGGGACCGGAAGTGCTTACAATCATCATCATACTCAACATTACTGATGTTGTTATAAACACATAACATTCCTCAGTTCGTTTAAAACGAACTTAAACAAGCTTCGTAAAGTTACTTAGTATAGTGACCAACGATCTGCTGATAACTTGGACTAGAAATGGCTTGTTAATTTTAACGCCTCCAAGACAAAACGGTTCTCTATTAATCGTCTTGGGAACCCTCTTTGCATTCCATCAGCATGGCTGATGCTAACCTCCAGGGAAGTGTCTCATTGCACCTTCCCAGACTAACGTTTACTGCTGCCATGAAGTGGAAAGATTTTATTGAATCAATTGCTAGGTCTACAGCTAAGAAATTTGGTTAGCTGCGTCGTGCTAGACCGTTTTTTTATTTTCACCAGAATCTATTTATAAGTCTACCATTCTTCCTTGCTGTCACATTTGGTCTGGTATTTCTGCTATGTATTCAGAAATTCTTAACAAAATTCAAAGAAGAATCTTCAACCTTCAGTCAGTTTTTTTATATATATTTTCATGGTAATTATTCTGATGAGCTTTCTTTGTTACATAGACTTTACGAATTTAAGAGCAGTACTAGATTGGCAGTAAGGTCTCATCATTTTACAGTGGCAATAGATAGATTTAACCGTTAGTTCTATACCAATAGTTTCTTCACTCGCACTTCTTGATTGTGAAACTCTCTTCTGGCTTCTGTTTTCCAATCAACTTTGATCTCTTCCATCCTCACAAAATAAGTGGCATCGTGACTCATTGGGCCATGCTGCATATTACCAGTCCAGGATTCAAATAGTGACTTCCTGAGTACAGCTGAGGCATTGTGGCTCGTGTTGTTGTACTAACAGGGACATCCTGGTGACTTTTCTGTTCCTATATCCCATGAAAGCTAAAGAACGCTGAACTCAATTGCATAATGTGGGTCTGGTACGTCCTGCATTGAATATGGATGTGATTTAAACCAGTCTCGCTTGTTTATTACCACAGACTATGCTAGCTAGACGGCCATTGGCCACGATCATTGACTCATCGTCGGTCAGGGTGATGTCCACGGTTGGTGCTAATGACATCCATCAAGTATTCCCGTTAAACACGTGACACCGTAGATCGAGGTACGGTGGCGGTAAATAAAATTAAATGCTGTTATCCCAAACCATTTGGTTCGTCATTGTATAGGCGACAAGGACAGCATCATATTTATTAACTGCGAGAGATAAAACGAACGCTGGCTAGCCATTACACCAAGTGCCCATCATGTGCGTAATGGTGTGCGCGTGTCTAATATAATCTTGCATCTACTTGTACAGATACATATATCTAATTCACATGTATCCTATTTTACATATATATATATATATATATATATATATATATATACAATCTTACACACACACACACACACACACATATATATATATATATATATATATATATATATATATATATATATATAATAGCTGGCCACTGTATTTGAAGATGCCCGTCTACTAGGGGCGGCTAGCCAATCCCTATTGCAAACTTTTGCTCAGGCACATTTGTGTTTGTTCAACACCCACAGAGTCAACCTGTTGTTTAATATGCAACTCTGCTGAATAGACCTTAGTTACAGTTTCTGGGAGATAGCGTGTTACCTAGAATGATCAACAATCTGAACAACACCAGCACACTTAAACCCTCGGTCACGATGACTTGTGACTTCGTGCTAGCACAGCTATATATATATATATATATATATATATATATATATATATATATATATATATATATATATATATATATATTCAAACAATAGTTCTCTTGAAGAATGGACAATTCCAAGAAACTTCGAAGTCGAGGAAATAACATAGAATATTGATATTTACAGTTAAATAAATTTATCATATATATATATATATATATATATATATATATAAACCATAAGTAGTCTCGAGTGTGTACGAGAATAACTCAATAAGTACGTATTCTGAAACGGTAACTAACTGAATTTGAATCGGAATTTTTC